CGGGCGTAACGCGTGGGGTCTGCTGAGATGATACGGCAGTTGTGTTATTAGTCTTGAGCTCGTTAGCGATATCTTTGGGTGTTGCACAATCATAGTCTTGTGCGGACTGGCATTGCGATCTTCGTAAGCTATGCGCGGCACTTGAATAACAGAGTCCAAATTCAGCTCCGTTTTCTGGCGGTGAAGGGGTATACGAGCATCCTGCCACAGCATTACAGCACCCCGAGGTAGACCTGTACGACCATAGAGTGAGACCTTGGAATCAGGGTTGGTATCTGGGGTCAGCGCCTCGGTCCCGACAGCACGGTAATACGCTCTCGCTGGCTGAGTGTAATGAATCCAATATGGGAGCGGGTACATCAGCGCAGGCTGACCACCACTCGAGTTAACACCGTAAGCGCGTTCGGGTAGGACGAGATAGATGAAGACGCGCAGATGACAGTCAGCACGCAGTGTTACCGAACCAGACTTGGAACTGGGAACCAGAAGCCCGGGACGAGTGAAAGAGCCTCGCCAACCGCCTCTTTCTGCAACAGCCTGTAACTACCATGTTCGAGGCGTTATATTGAAAACTTTCAAGACGTTTTGTCAGCCGCTTTCATTCAGAAGAACAGTCATACAGGCCTCTGGAAGGGTTGCCAGAGATGGTAAGGTGCCGAGTAATGGGATTGCAACCCGTCTTCAGTCCCACGAGGTCTCCAGATTTTGCTCACGGCTCGACCGATAAGCTAACCAAGGTAGGTGCCGGAAAGAGGGCCCATGCAAGGCGCAGCCTGAATGCAGAAGGTGGAACAAGATGGCCGTTAGCGAAGGAATCTGCCACAATCCTACGGGAAAACATCATCAAATCGACCTATCTCCATTCGCCCGTTACAAAGATCATTGCTAAGATATCAGACGTGCAGTTGCTTTTGCAGACTTTTACCCCCATCTTTGGGTTTCAGGTACGGTCTCATGAGCAATGAGCCGGCCCGTTTGTCGCTGCAGAATCCTGCGGGAGTAGGGCGTTCTACTCGGACAAGCTATGATAAGCTGCACACGTGGGAGCAGTATACACCACACGGCGTTCGCCAAGCAGGGGGCGTGTCCATGTGAACTCGATGCCGGCTGGGGTAATGAGCCTGGAAGACTGTAGTTGGTCTCTTGGGCCCTCGCTCCGAAGTGCGGGATACTAGGTCGACATTGCACCGAAGGCCAACAGATGAATGACTTTGCTTGTGACATTCGGCGGAAAGACCGGCGCCTTGATCCGCTTGATGTCGCGTTGCCATCGGTGACCGGCGAGACGTCCGGATGTCATTTGGTTGGTTATCAGTGCGGAGGTGGACGATGCGACGAGCTCGTGCGTGCACGCGTGGGATGCCTGCGCGTCGGGCCCCACCGCCAGGCACTGGGGAACGTGTTGCTGCTTTGGGCAGCCACAGCACCTCGTTCAGGCAATCGACGATACTGAATGCGCGCCAGAATGAAGACCCGACTCACTGGAAATGAGGAATAATTTCTCCCTTGCTATTTGTTGGGCGCAACGTCCGCTTCCGGGGAACGCACAGGACTACTGCGATTCGTGCAAAATCCCTCATGTCGATTCGTGCAAACAGGCGGAAACCAGCATCATGTTCCCCCCGTACGCTAGAGATGTGATAGAAGGGCTGTAGCGACAGGAAAGGCAAATCTTCCTATTCTCTGCGATGGTGAGGTTTCAGTGGCATTGCGCGGCATGGCACTGACCATCAAAGCCTCGGTTAAGTATCGCGACGAGCAACACATGTGAGGGTGAGCACGTTGTTGCGCATGATTGGACAATGAGCGCTGAGAACGGCCGGGCGCCGCCACAGAAGGGGAATCTGCGATGCGCGAGCCGGGAAAGCACCAAGAAGGAGAAGGAGCTGCGCGACCCAGAGCATGATCACAACGTGACACGGGAAGGTGAGCGTAATGCTATCACGACCAACCGATGTAACAGCCGGTGGTTGCAAGCCAGGCAATTGGTGCTCCTTGGTAGCAGCCACGCGACGCCCGCGGGGAGCGGCTGGACGCCCCGGATCCGATATGGTTAGCTCGAACTTGGTTTCCAGGCTGTCGGGCTCTTTGCATTCTCCAGTGTCCGGTAGAGTGGCACTGTCAAGCCGCCATCGTGGGTGCAGTATTATCCTGTAGTCAGTGTGGGTGGTATGCGAGATCGATGTGTGCCGCTCAATAACGCAGCTCGTGTTCGCAGTGCAGAAGAGTTGTTCGTAAAAGAGAAACACAAAATGTACCGAGATCGTTTGCCGTCGAGCATGTGACGAGTAATCATACAGCGATCGACTCCCCGGCACTTGTCATAACCACGGATGACAGGCTGATGGCTACTCCCGACGCAGATACGAGCTCTCATCTCAGCTGGACGCTGACGAACTCGATCGCTTCGATTTTGTCCCGAAGAGAGGGCGACGGCAGTGAGTGAGTAGAGTCAACGAAGTTGGGCAGTGCGCAGCCTCGACAGAATGTCGTTTGTGTTGCGACGTGTGCGCATACCGATCACGTAGGTGCCACCGTCGCCATATGGCCGTGCATGTTCGTTGTAGAGCGAAAAGCAACGGCCGAATCGATACCAAAATCGCTTGGCAAGCGTCACAGCTTGCTATGTCGTGATCTGGGGTACAGTCATCGTCCTGCTGATGATCAAAGCAACCCGATCTAGGTCATGATACAACATATACGCAGTCTCGGAACGATGAAAGGTGGTTACGACTAATGCGAACATGAAATACACCTTTGGCGTATCGCGCAGTCGTACCAGGTTTGATGGCGGTTCATTCCGTCGCGATAAGCCGATAGATGTGGGAGCTTATGGAAGTTGACGGTTGTATGAAGATCGTGAGAAAAAGCACACGACAACCACGACGGGGCCACGGTCCGGGGAACTAAAGTTCAGCTCCATGTCATGTCACGAGCGAACGACAGACTTTGGGGTGAACATGGCCCCGTCTTTCCCCACGCTGACGTTTGTTCTTTGTACCAAAGAAAACGCTGTGCATAATGATGTGCGATCGATTGCATCGTGAGCCGGGTGGCTTTCAGGAGCGACGACCGGTTGGATAAGCAGAGCGACAGGCACTCGACAGTCCAGTGCCACGTAGAGGTAGCTGCCGGTGTACAACTCATGAAACAAGCATCACGCCGCATTCAGCGATAATGTGCGGTCGCACCTGATGCTTTTGCGGCTTTGTGATTCGACAGGCGCCCCAGATGACCTCGAGAAATTGCCGTGTACTGGACTGACGTAGCATAACAGCCAAGTTGGAAGTTACTGGAGGACGAGTGGGCGCACAGTGCACCATGGCAGGGTACCTGTCGCTACCCCAAAGTCTGGAGCGGAATATCTGGGGTAGCTGGCATGTCTCAGAGGCGTCGAGGACAGCACTTTAACCAGGTGGCCACCGGGCTTGTACCTCGTGGCCTGGCACCCTTGCGAATAACCAACGCATCTAGGAACCTAGCGAACAATGGCTTGCCGATTCACAGAGGCAGGTCAGCGTTGGTGGTAGGCGGTAAAATTCGCAATCGCAGAGACAAAGGCGGAGTTGACCACACCGAAAGCAGCCCTGTCACCAGAGCGTGCGAAGGCTGCTCTTGACCGCCACGGAAGAATTCAGGATCCCGTGTTGCCGACCCCAGTGCGGGGGATTTGCGCAGACGATGCAGACGGTGCAAACGACAGAGTGTCGGATGCGGACCTGAAAACAGGGCTGTCGCGACGTTCAAGAGTACCTGTCTCGTCGAGTGTGCCAAGTTGCCTGTGAGGCTGTCTAGTTGGTGTGGATGGGCATGAGGATTGACTCAGGGTCCAAGAGGCACAGCCAAGGGCGCAGCCATTTGGGCAAGGGAAGCACATGGGCTTCAAAGGCTAGACTCGTGCAGGGGGGAATGTCGGAAGAGGCGAGTTAGGGAGAAGAAGCGCCGCGCGGAAGTTTTCAGCTGCTTCCGCGAGCGCTAACGGGATGCGACAAGCAGCATCACATGGCGTGCATAGGTTTTCGAAACCGCTGAGTTAGCGGTATTGTATTACGGCGGCGTAACTTTCTCCCAAGGTTCGCCGGGCAGGTGACTTGTGGTGCAACGGATCCGCCAGCGACAGCAGACAGTGCTACCAGTCAGCCAGGCAAGCCGACCATGGGCGCCGTAGGAGCAGAGGGTGCCGTGGTCAGCATGGCCCCGATGGGCTCGACGCAGCAGCGCGAGTGATGGGTATGAGTCTTGAGGCAGGCGGTAGAGGCAGCGAGTCAGGCAGTGTTCTGGAAGTACCAGCGTGCACGGCCTGTGTTGTTCAGATCATGTGCCTCCCCACGCCCAGGCCGTCACCACGCGGGCGACGACGCAGAGGTGGCATTCGCTGGCGCAGGTGGCGGCGGCCCTGAATGCGTTGTTTTGGAAGAGTGAATGCGGCCATGTCTCTGGGGGGGATGACGATGGGGACGAGGGCCACGAGCGTCGCAGAAACTGACTGAGAGGATCCATGGTAGACTCTGGACTCCGGGCAAAAGAGCGGTAGCCCGAGAAAGGCCGCAATGGCATGGATCAAGGCTCTGATGGCAATCTGCCGGGGGAAGGAGCGCGTTGCAGGGGTCTCCTGTTAGTGTGGGTGCCCATCGCGCCTTCCATGTCGGCCCAGGTCGTAGGTCGTCGCTGCCCCCCTGCACCTTCTTAGTGGACCTTGCACGCACACCAGTACTTGGGCTTATACATACAAGATCCACTCCCACTTGCATGCCCTCTCTACATACCTCGCCCATAGCATTACACGCCTGCTCCCATTCACCCACTACGCTCTCTTGGACCTCCCCACATATACACCCATTCACTCACCACCGTCTATCCATGTATCTGTCAGCGCTGTAGCATCGCCGGCAACTCCCTCTGCTCGGCAACTCCATTGACGCACCCGGAACCTCATCGTCACTGACGCAAGCGGAACCACCGTTAACGATCCCCCCCTCAACCCCAACACAACGCCTACGATGCCTCTCCGCGCCGAACGGCCCATAGTGCGTGTCGAGCACAGCTCCATGCGCACCATCGAAACCCGCAGCACCGAGAACCTGTTCGGCCTCTGGTCTGGTGAGTGACATGCATGCCGATAGACACATGATACATCGCCATGATAGCATGTGAAGCGCACAACAGCGACTAACTCACCCTTCAGTATTTGCACGATGCTCGCCTGCCATGGAAGACGGCAAACGCTACGAGAACATGGCCTGGCGGTTGTGGTCCCGCGAGACCTTCTGCTGCCAGCCAGACCCCGTGGCTGCTCCCCAGTGGACCTTCCAGCGCCAGTTGTCGGCTAGCGCCGCGGACATGCCCGCGCTGTCTACCAGCGTCGCCTCCGACGACTCCAATGTGGAAAGCGCCATCATCACCACTTCCCGCTCTGACCTCACGGCCGACCGCCCCGACCTGCGCCGCCACGACTCTGCCACCAGCCAGGCCCGCGGCAAGCACATGACGCCCATCGGTCTCGAGAAGGTCGTCAACTCGATCCAAGAGAAGAAGTTCATTGAGCCGCTCTCACCTCTGCCCGCACAGCTTGCCCCGCCCGTACCCGAGCAGAAGCCCGCCCAACACAACACCTCGCCGCCCACCACCGCCCGCCCCATCCCCGAAGCCTCGACTTCCACTGTAGCCACTACGGTGAACAGCGACATCATGAGCCCCGCCGTCAGCTCCGAAGCGAGCACCTCCACCGACGTGAGCGAGCACAGCGTCGTTCGCGGCTTCGAGCCCGGCCACATCTCCACCTCGGTACGGTCCACCACCAACCTGAACCCCACTCCCATCCTCAAGAAGACCTCCAGCTTTGTCACCAAGCCGCTACCTGCCAAGGCCGACTTGAGCAAGAAGAAGCAGCCCATGTTCACTCTGGGTGGCTCCTCAGAAGAGGAGAACGGCAGCTCCTTCGAGGCCTACTCTCTCCAGCGCAGCTCCCTCTCCCAGCAGCTGCGCAACGCCGCTCCCATGCGCAAGACGACCTCGTTCAAGAACGAGGTCAGCACCCGCACCTTCCACGACGTCTCCGAGAGCAGCGAGGCGGCCATTGAGACCGACAGCGAGGACGACGTCGACGAGAGCGCCATCGAGGACGAAGACTCTGACGAAGACGAGTGGGAAGACGATGACAACGAGGAGAGCGGTCCCCCCAGCGTTGCTGAGCACCGTCCCTTGTTCTCGCGCGTCGACTCACAGGCCAACCTCACTTCCCGCCGTTCCCTACTCACCACCGCGCTCCACCAAGGTGACCGCGCATCAGCTCTTCAGAACGAAGCATCGCGATCATCGCCTGCTATCCGACGCTCCCGCACCAACGCACCCAACGGTCCATCGACCGGCAACTCTCCCCACGAGGACAAGGGTCTGATGATGCGCGAGCCGGCTTCCCGCCCAAAGCCCATCATCATGACCACCTCCAACGTCCACCCACCCGCCATGTCCCCAAAGACATGTCGTCGCAACATGCTGACTTCGTGAGCTTACACTTTACCAACTGCATACATAACATATACTGACTTTTTGTAGTGAGCTCACTGGATCACTCCGTCAGAACCTGCTGTGGGAGAGGCAACAAAAGAACGCTACAACCAACGCTGTAGCAAAGCGCGCTCAGAGCGCAGTCAACCTACCAGCCCTACGCCGGGCCATGACCACCGGGGACGTAAAAGGCCTCAACACCAACGAGCAACAAGCTCAAATTAGATCCACCACCTTCCGGGACGACAACAAGCCCGACAGCTCATACAACCAATTCTTCGACGGCGGCGACGCCCAGGAGTACCACCGCTCCGGATGGTAGCACTTCATCATCATTTCTTCACATTTGCACTTCTAGCGGCATCTATGGTTTGGCATTGAACCACGGCGTTTTGTTTTCCACACTTTAGCGGCCACCATTTTCCAGAGCACTGGTCAGGCGATAATGGGTTATGATCCTCCCAAAATCTTCTGATACCCCCAGGGCATCGGTTATGCCCAATGAGGCTACGAATTTCTTTCATGCAGTTATATCGGACAATGGGTGCTTCTTGGTCTGAAGACGGGTTACGGCTCACGCCTATTTGGTCTGTACTATCACCTGCACTGTACTTGTATCGGACTCTTTGCCCGACCCATTATACCCCGGCATGGGACGGCTCCACGGAGCTGTTGAACCACAGCAACACCTAGCTTGGAAATAGCAGGTTTTTGCCTAGATACCTAATGATAAAAAGCGGATTCTTCACTATCTCACACTCCTACATGATGCCTACAGTGACTGTGGCGGCAAGGCCATGCACTAGGCCGATGTACTTCGAAGCCTCATTGACTCTTTAGCTGTCACCTGTTCCGGGGTTCGAGGTCCCAACAAGACGCATGTTCGATTGTAAAGAGCCACTTGTTTGGCAGGTTCCTTTACCGCTCTTCTGAACCACTCCAAGCTAGCTGCCTAAGAAGCGCTTATGCACGCTTTGCTGTAGGCTTCATGCAGTGCCGGATCGCACCACCACCACACTGATTCCCCCCGTTACATCTGCCGCGCCTAGAGGGCACGCTGTCTGTGTCACGATGGCGATCAGCCTGGTCATTGTTTATTGATGATATGGCGAAACTTGGATCTGCAATAGCCGCGACATTGCTCGTCGCTCGTCACAGCCCAAAGTCAAATTGGACTGAGCCGCGCCGCCCTTGCTTCGGCCCGGCTTCCTGTTCACCGTCACGAACTCTGTGTGCCTGACATCCTGCTGCGCCGCTGCTCGTCACAGGAGATCACCAAGGGCATGCGGTACTCGAGGGCGCTGCCCCATGAGGGCCTACCCTTGCGCCATATAGGCCAGGGCGCAGGCAACGTGCATCGTGCGTGCATCGTGGCGAGCACACCCACCCTCCGTCGTGCGTCGTGGGATCGCGGGCGAGACTCGACGGCTGCAGACGCCGCTCAGCCTTATGACTCGAGCTGCGAACTCAACACCAACAGCTGCCCCCGCGCAACGCAATCTCGACGCTCGCGGTTTCAGCAGGGCAGAGCACGAGTCGGGCGGCGAGGCTTTTCGCAGACACTGACACTGACAATAGTGAGCGACGCCACTACGTCATGCTAGCTGAAAGTTACCGCACTTCCCCGCGCGCCGTTTTGCTCCTGCTCCAGGCGTCCTCGCCCTCGCCCCTCGCTGCTCAATATGCGTTGCATCAGCATCACTCAACCACCATGCAAGCCTTGCCAGATGACTCCGGGAAGCGGCCTCGCCAATCGTCCCTCGGCCGTCGCTCAGCAATCATCACCACCGGATTGCGCGGGCTCAATCAGCGCAGCACAACGCGGCCCCGGTCGCTCCAGCAGCTTGCATTGTTGACGCTCACTATTACCACTGATTTCAAAGTCCTCTGATCATCCGGATGCTAAAAACAACATTCATCCCTGAAAACGGCGGAAGGCGACGCTCTATCAGGCACCCGCAGCGCTACCCCGCGACCAAGTCGGTCTGGAGGTCGATGCGTTGGCATGTTAGCGCCTGCGAGTGGTCATCTGAAGCCAGCCTTGACGAGTCAACTTGGAGATGCTTCAGCCTCATGTACGAGGAACTCCGCCACGCCAAAGGGCTCCCTGGCAATATCTGGCTCAACCGCTTACATCCCTCGTCCTGTGACTGTGATTATCGCTTCCGTTGGCGGCTTCGGTTCAGTATCACTCCAGGCCTCCTGTCTCCGCAGTCTCATTTGCTGCCCCCGTGGGGGTCCCGTCACATGAACACCTATCGTCACACTTTGGTGACGTCCCTTCTCGCCAATGCCGCTGCGTGCAGATCTGATGTCTGCGTCTGCCTACGCGTCGAACGGATCTCGGGATGCTGGTGTCGCTGAGGCGAGGCAGAGACAATCAATTGCCGCTGATCAGGTCGGCGAGAGCGCCGTCAAAATGTCGTGCTTGAGGTCGTGGCCGCGGAAGTCTTTCCCATTGCCTGGATGTAGAGTCCCACACGCAGCGCCATCGTTCCGTCAATACTTCCCGCATTACACATACTTTAATCACAATACTCGGCTTGCGCACCTAATGTACGAGAGGATTCGGTCATACCAATGGCTTATTGGCCTTGAATGCAGCCATTGGCACTGCCCATAGCTCAGCAGGGCACATGGGAGTAGCAACACCAGAACCAAGGCACTACGACTTCTCTGTCGTTGTAGTGACACACCACCTCATACAAGGGAAAAACTGAACACCCAGGAGCCTACGTCGCCGTTCGGCCACCAACTTCGCAAGCTTTTATCTTGATGTAGGCTCTTAGGTGTTCGGTTCTTCCCTTGAATGGGGTGATTCTCTTTGCTTCCTGTCGATTCTCGTCCCTAGTCTTCAACCGTACCCCGACCCTCTGCCTACACATCAGCCTAGCGGTGTACCATCATGCTTCATCCGGTGGTATTCTTTACATCAGGCGCGCGGTGCAAACGGCACCCCACAATCTACTTTTTATCAGTTCAACCGTCATATCACTAACTCGAAATAGTAGGAGCAGACACAGGAACACTTGCGCTTTGACTGTTTACAGATGCATCACCTGTCTCCAACACGTTTGAACGCCAGCTATCCCCGCTCAAACCTCAAAACTTGCCAGCGCATCGCCCAAGCGCGCTCATACCGTCTGTTGACCTTCACGATAGTTGGCTCTTAGTCGGTAAGATCTTCGGTAGTGGCTCTGACTCCGGGACATTGCCCTAGCCTAGCGTCAATTACCCCAGGCTTCGCTGGCATGTTTCAGTCAACACCATCGCGATATGAAAGGGCCGTTTGACGACAATCAGGATATTTACATTCCCGAATGATCGCGATCTCTCGATCGTGTCTGCGATTAACGGGCGCATCAGGTTGATCACGATCAGTCTCATGATGCCAGGGCAGACCTGCAAAGATCGAGATCAGGCATGCACCATCTTTTTTCCGAAGTCTCGGTAGATGGACACCTGCTCCACTCCATAGAGGCGCCACGGTAGTATGCAGCCCTAAATCACCCACATGTCCATCGCATTCACAGATGTACGTCATTGCTCACCAGCCTCTTTTGTCGCCCTGATTTCTTTAACGTTATGAAAGCGAACGACAACAGCGATCTTGCGGTTTTCGCCGTGCTGATGCATGCTCTAGCCTCCAGCTATTGACATAGCAAGCCGAGGCATTTGCATGACGGCGCTATCGAAGCTCAACCAACTTGGGGTCCAAGAGGCGGGGGAGACATGGCGCTGGACAAGCGGAACAACCCCCGGCCACTCTTCGACAACACCGAGGCTTCTGAAGATACGAGCACATGGACACCGTGCTGCTCCTAGCACTGCCCGTGAAGATGGACGGTCCTCATGCCGTGCAGAGACCTGTTGCGACAAGCTCCGATGCGCGCGGCGATGACGATATCGAGAGTACCCCGGACATTTGCTCAAGAAGGTAAGTCAGGATGACCAAACACCACGAAAAGCAAGCGATCATACGCAACGGTTATCACGAACCAAACAATAACACGGCGATCTTGAGACTTGAGGCAAGCATGATGCAAACCGTTTCTCAGGAACGGCACCCATTGAACCGGTGCTGTGCGTTAAATCTACGATTCGATCGAGAGGCGAGTGACAACCTTGGTACACTACCGGTAGAACAAAACCTTGGAGACTATCCCCAGACCCCAGATTTACGTAGTATCGGATGGCGCTCCCGGAAACAGCATAACGCTGCTCATTATTTGTTACGCCTCATTTCTTTTCTTTGATGTTTCATTACACGTCCCTGCAGGGCGGCTTGAAGTCTGCCAGAAGGTTCGGGAGTTCGTCGTGGTCAGCTGTCTCCTGATCTTGCAGCGGGCACGTCTTCCCCGCCGTCGTCGCAGGCATGCGCTTGCTGCTTCAGCTGTTCCCACGCGACGCATCCTTGCGTAGCGTGCGCCTCAGCAATACACTGCGTGCGGCACCGCTCTGCTCACCCATCAGCTTACAGACATTATTAAGAATCTGGTGACTCACTATGCTGCGGAGCAAGGACGAGCCTACGACCAGAAGTCAGCACACTATCGACAGAGGCCGTCTCGGGTATCTTCGGATACTCAGACGTTCGGCGCAATACAGCTCGGATGAAGCACTTTCCAGAACTCATTTTGCGCATCATGCCTTACTGCCTTACCTCATGATCCTCCTGGTCTGCAGACCCGGCCCCGCACGTGTCAAAACAACGAAGATGGACCGAAGTACCCTGAAAATCAGACAGCAATAGTCGGCGAGAACACCGCTCCATGGCGCGATTGTCCACCAATCCGCGTTCTTGCTATCTCGTGCCGATTATATCGCGGAACGTTGCTTAGCTTCCCCACGAACGCCGCTTACCCCGCAAGGACTCAAGTCGAGCGGTTAGCTAAACAGAACAGGCAATTCCCGCCCAAGCACTGATTCACGACTGACAAACAGAGTTTGGAGCGAAGGTTTTGAGATGTCAGGTGTGCTGTTGAAACTGTGGAACTGGTGGTTACACTTCCCCAGACTGGCAACCCCGGACGTCGCAGGTTGCTCAAATCCATACGTGTCAAGGGTACCACTCCACACGCCCTGTAACTTCGACCCTCGACGCGAAGACCCTTTTCGCATCAGTTGCTTCCATGGTTGTTCGCTGCATCAAAGATGCTGTCATCAATGCGCCTCACTTGCCAGAAGCCGCGAGATCCTGGTCGCGAACCTGTTACAATCTGGAGACAATGGGTCGCAACACATCAAGCATATCTCTTATCTGGGGTGAACCTGCTCGAGCTTCGTCATGGAGTCTGGGATCTATGACGTACACACCGGATCCAATGCAGGTACCAAGGCCCAAGACGTCGATCATGAAGTTACTAGATTGGGTAAACCGGGTCAAACCTCTCCCCAGGCAGGCTAAATGCAGAACACTGGTAAATTACAGCGCGAAAGATATGTCTTTGTCAGCCTCAGGGTTGTTCAGCTCCCCAGCACAAGACATGTTGCGGCAGGAATGTTGGCTTGCTTCAACAGAGCTGCTCATACGTCACACAAGAAATCCAACAAGATCGCGCTGACGAAATAGCGATGGTAGTTTGCTGATTGGCATGGCTAGGCCTCACCACCAATATCGATGTTTCTCTCAACAAGACCTCTGGTGCCCGCAAGTGGTGTGGAGTCGTTATCGCCAGCGCCAACAGCCCCTCCGCTCCACCGGATCGATTGGCTACGAGCGGATCTCAGCCCTTTTCGCCTTTTACCATCGTCACACACAAGCGAAGATTTTCTAGAAGCCCCAGAGAATATTACATCGTTTACGTCTAGAGCTATTTGGCATCGCCGCACAACAAGCTTTTTTATAATTCCGGTGGCCATTAGAGACGAGTCTTCCGTATTCGGCACTCGCGAGGCTGGCGACGCGTTGACGCGCATGCGTGCAGGGTGTTGAATGTATCGATTGAGCTGATTCATGCGTCATTGTGTTCGCATTGGGTATGGAGTATGCACAAATCACACAATCGTATCCATTTCCTCATGAACAGCGTCACTCATGCGCAGCTGTCGACGCTGCAGCACATTCATGTCGGTAAATCCGACGGACGCTGACTTGCGAACGCATGCATGCATGAACCGAGTTTCACGTGCCAAACCTGCGCGGGCGCGCATGTGTGCGGTGCTTGCCGAGCTCCACCGACACGCAAGCAACGCAAGTTCACGAGCGCAGCCAGGGTTATTGTTTCAACAGAATCAAAATGGCAGGTACGTACCTGCATTGCTACCCAAAGCACTGTTACATCGGACGTGATATCTGCACGAGTCTGAATGAAGAGGAGTTTTTTCTTTTCTTTAGTTGGTTTTGCAAGTCACATTGTCATGATCCTTCCCCATCAAAGTAAAGCTCGCATGCAAACCCTCGGTTTCTACTCGCTCTACAAGGATCAATATCTCCACCTGGGGGGCGTAAATCCTCGCATAGTTCCCGTTGTTCTTTTGCTGTCACATGTCTGGCTGTACTCCGCAGTTAAGGGTTGCAGATGCGCGGACGAGAATAATTCTCAATCTCACCCGTACATTTCCGATACAAAGATCCACTGTAAAGCGCACAACGAGTAGTTCCCGCGAGTCCAGAACTTCTCGGTTATTTCTGTACATGTGGATATGGCATGGAGATGAAATGCCATGTTCCATGTCCGCAGCTGACAGCGTCGTGACCCACAACGGTGAATGCTCGGCTCGAGCCTCTGGAGTATCTGAGCCACAGCCATTTTTCACCGCCACGCAAGCGGTGGTTTGAGGGGCAACGTTACACCGGTATCAACTTACTCGCAACGAGTCTAGTTTATCTTTCGTTCGTTTAGACTGCGATGGATGCTAGTGAGCTACTCCTTCCGGCATGGTAAGACAACGATAGTCTATCCTCGGAGGCTCGGCTCGGTTTCTCAGTAGTCCCAAGCGAGTGAACCCAGAGCCCTACAAACCACCGATGCCAGCTAACCTCCGATGCTCTGCCTCCGGCTTACGCCTGCTCTACGCTTAGACGAACGTGTTCGGCGTATCGAAAAACAACGGCAACTATACGCAAGTTCCCAGCCTATCCCAATCCTCCCGAGAATAATCGCGCGGTGAATCGCATGTGGCATGTACTCTCACACGCCTTCTAGACTCTGCATTAGCGCCGCTTCGAGAAGAAGCATCACCCTCGCATAATGCAGACTGCATACATTACAACCACCAACACGACCTCCGCGCCGCTAGTTTTCACCGGCCGGGAATATCGAAGCTTGTTAACCTAAGCCCCCATCGCGAACCACCGTTGCCATCGCTGTCTCATCTCGACTCCGAAGTGGCTGGACTGTGGATACAGCAAAGTCTTTTGCTTCGGGGTCGCGTGCGATGCCACGCTATCGAACGATAGCTGGTGTAAGAACCCTTGCCCGTGCCGACTCCGAACGAATGAAAGGTGAGACGATGGGAATTGACACTACTGGATATTGGATATGGAGGCGGCTGTAATCGGGGGTCGGAGGAAGGTGTTGAGGCTCTGCGGGTACGTGCATGGCCTCCGATGTGGGTCCTGTCGGTGTCGCGAATTGAGTATTGGAGTGTTCGCTTGGGTGGTGCGTAGGGTTTGGGTGTAGTGCTGACCTGCTGTGAACTGTTGAGGTATTGTATTTTTTGATAGTGAGCATGTGCGTTTTTGTTACGCGCAAGGGTAAGACAGCGATAGCGAAGGTGGTATGTGTTGTGATGGATTGTGTATCTGTGCCTGAGGCTAGGTATTGAAGGTGTGTAAGTGGGGTATAGTTGTTACTACCTCTGCTTTCCATTCGCGCGTATTGCTCACTTGTAGCATTGCCATGTGTACATGCCATGTGCTCGCATATCAACATGATGTTCGCTCCATGTTGGAATACCTTCCCTGAGTGTAGCCGTATATCCGCCGAAAGAGAAAAAACTTCATCCTACCTCTACCACGCCCAACTTGACCACTTCACACCAGATACTACAAGCCTCCTGCTCCCGTAGTGCTTCATTCCAGCACTCACAACAGTCAATCAGTAAACGTTAATTTTCCCGAAGCCAATATATCAGCCCGGCTAGCTCAATCGGTAGAGCGTGAGACTCTTAGCTTTCACGTCCTCACTAGACTCGATTGGTTCATCTCAAGGTTGTGGGTTCGACCCCCACGTCGGGCTTACAGTTCATGGCACATTGCATCCTCGATGAGCCAACAACTTTTTTTTGGCGGTTGAGGGTGATGGTGTTGTGATGTTGATATTTTTTTAGGCTTGAGTGAATGCCAAGCAACGAAGCGAGAGAAAGATGGTAAGAAGCAGCGGGGAAATGATGGAACACTAGAACATGTATGACTACTGTATGAAAGGAGTAGGGGGAAGGAAGCGGATAGAAATGCTGGTCGTTGAGTCTGGTGCATAATGTGGTATGCATGGTACTGTCTACTGCGTGCGCCGACTACGAGCACCAAGAAGTATAGGTAGACCACTTGATACTGCGCGCTTTCATGACTTCGCTCCTACAGTGTAGTGTTTAGAAAATAGCAAGAAAAAGAATCTCGCGTCACTGGATCGGGCGTTGGAGTGCAGGTGGTGATGCTTGCCAGGATCGACAACATCCACAAGATCGCGTTATGTCATCTCCCCTTGTATTGAGAATTGTCAAAGGTTTTGGACTGTATTCGTACGTGGCTTGAGTACCCTGTGCGTCTTCTTTTCTTCCTTGCAACTCAAAAACCTTGCTTCTGTTAAACGCATGTCGCAAACGCAATCTTCTTGGAACGTTCCGCGAAACCATGTGTGAGCCGCCTACTTCGTCTTCTGATCGCACGACACGAAGTGGGCGATATCTTGTACCAATCCAAGTACTGCGCGAAGAATCATCCAGCGAACAAGTTCAGTTCAAGTTGGGGGTTTTTGGAGAGCACTCACGACAGAACAGCGTTGTGTAGAAGAATGGACATTCTTCTACTCTATCTACTATCTACACCGATACCACAACTCCCTCCCCTTCTCCAACCCTCCAACCCTCCATCTCCATCCATTTCCATCCATCTCAAAACCCCGTCCCGCCCACCCCAAACTCCATCCAACACATATCACAAGTCCCTCACTCCCACCCTCAGCAAGGGACCAACAATCTCCTGCGAGAAGACACCTTCTCGCAGCTTCTCAGCTTCTCGTGACTGCCGTAGCAGTAGCTCCGCCCGATGAAACGCTGACGCTCCCAAGTGTGTGGAATTGTCAGCCAAGGGATCCGTAGATTCTTGTCTCAGTCAAACCACGCAAACCGGCGTAGCACTGCTCGTAAGCAGCTTTTGCGTACGCCCTGAGGTGTGCAATCGTTTGAGCTGAAAGATTCAAAAAGCTTGTCCCTGGAGCGAAGCGACACCCATACCCCCTCAAGTACATATCCGCACGACTGGCTACCGTTCCCAAGTGTGTGGGACAGATCAGCCAAGATGCGTGAGTCCATGTCTTGTCAATCATCCAACCCTTGGTATTCTCGCTTATTACTCCGAGTGTACGAAGCAATGAGCATCCTCGCTTGTTACTCCGAGTGTGCGAAGTAATGAGCATCCTCGCTTATTACTCCGAGTGTGCGAAGTAATGAGCTGCAGTAACGGTAGAAGCTTCTCCTTGGAGCGAAGCGACATCCGGAAGATTGTGGTTGTAGGTGTTCAAAGAAAGTGTGTTCCTTGGACACCACACCGAAAAACCATGTGGTACAAAGCTTGTCCCTAAGGCCAAGCGACCGCCGTAACGGTATGACCTTGAACCACCTCACTCTCTCACGTCAGCGTGGAAGAGCGAGGAGTAAAACCGCAATTGAGTCGTCTATGCAAACAAGAGCGACGATCGCGGCTTTGAGTTCAAGGTAAGGAAAAAGAGAAGAGAACGGAGGGAAGGCGCGAACGGGTTTATATAGGCAGTGTGGGCGCGCGGTGAGAGATTGATCCGGCGCCGGGGCTGAGTAATGGGTGGCGATGACGCGCGTTGGACAGGTTGGAAGGGCGTGGACGTTCTGTTTGCGGAAGGAGCGCGGATTTTGAGGCACTGGCGTGGTGGTGAAGGTGAGTGACCGGATAGCGCGGGGACGCGCCGACAACGACGCGCGCAGGGAAAGATCAAGTGAAGGGGATCACCAGGTTTTGTTCAATTTCAGGCAGGAGACGACAATAATAAAATACAGTACAAAGAAATGATATTTGGTAGGTGTAGCCGTCCGGCTGCCCTTTTGGGTGTTATGTACTTCGTCTAATCAGGCCTAATAGCCTCCAGCTGATCCTCCCATATTTGAGAAGTAAGCTCATCCCTTCGCATTTCGAGCGGCCCCATACTGGAGAACATTACCGATACCCTACACTCCCTATCCAGTAGATCTTGCATCTTTGGATACATCTCCTTCAGATCCGTTAATACAAATCGCCTGTAATTGTCGTGATACGTGGGAAGTGACGAAAAAGCTGCATCAAAGTCGAATACGACACGCGTTAGCTTGGGCAGATCTTTGAGGTTATCGAGATCGCCGGTCTTGATGTTATATGCTTTTGCTTCTCCCCTGTATATAGAGAGGACGCTCTCCGTAGTCGTAATCCTGATGATCCTGATCTTGCGCACCCACTCTCGCGGTGGTACGCCGTAGCCGAACCGCGGATCGTTGAGAAAGTCAGGGACGAGACGACATTCGACGAAGGAGAACGTTGTATTGCGGTACCAAGCCTCGATAAGCTCGGAGTAGAAGGCTTGCCGGAGTATTCACGATCCCAGAGGTGCTCGCAGGCAATGGTGGTGCGATTCGTGAACCCTGCGGGGAGCATGGGCTTGACACCGATTTCGGAACAAAAGAGGAAACTTGCCAGCACCTCCTTATCAATCCTCACGATTGACTCCCCGATGATGTATTGGTATATCATGTCGCGAAGCTCGCGGGGTAGTTTGTCGCCGACCATAGTGCAGATGGGGAGACACTGCGCCGCTGCATAGCGCCTCGTACGGTCGTCGATTTCCCTAGCAATATTGCGGGCTTCTTCCTGGAGTCTGAACATTTCTTGGTATCGACCGGTTTCGTGAGAAGGCTCTTTGACTGGACAACTGTTGCGTAGACAGAAGATATGATTCTCGGCGTTCAGTTCACCGACGCGCGCGTCTACAATCCGCTTGAGGACTTTCAGCTTCTTTAACTCGCTATTGGAGGTCAGTCGTTGCTCTTTCCTGACCAGGTGGTGCGTACATTTGAAGATACTCCCGGTCTTCTTCGGCAGTGACGGATACAATAGTTTCGCGAGCGACACTTGGTTTTTCATGCTTTGATGTAGCCGCCTGCTCGAATTTTCTGTCAGGCTTCGTCAGTTGCCGCTAGTAAAATTCGTATGATGAGACTTACACCTTCCCAGCAGGGAGTCGCGCATCGCTAAGAACTTGAGTTGGCTCCGCTTTTGGAAGGATGCTGTCGGGACTCGTTGACATAGTGCTATACTGTGAAGTTGAGTGCGAAATTGATGAATTGATAGCAAGTGCGGGTGGTGACGAAATAAAGCACTTGTACTACTTTGGAGTGTAAGCTATAACATCTAGGTAGGTACAATCCAGGCAACAAGCAAGTAATGAAAAGCCATAGCCGTAAGCGACACCCTGCGCTACTCAAGTGCGAATCGGCGCGTCGCCTCCTCGACCTTATCAGTCCAATCTTGTACAGTAATCTCTTCGCGCACTACCACAAACTTTATGTTGCACAAGCCTAACCTGGAACGGATTATGGGCCTGAACCCCAAGTGTGGCTGTCTCCAATTCTGCAATGTGGGAAACATGCATGCTGCATTCCCCATGTAATCTTCCACCGAATCACCCGCTTCTATACGCTCCTGGAGATTCTCTAGGACGATCGTGAAGGTAGCGGGCCAATTGAGACTGTATTTGAGCAACTGCACTTTTCGCGCCATTTCCGCCTGTTCAGCAGTGTCTCCAGTAATCCGTACGTTCATCTCGAAATTTTTGATGTGATCGCGCGGTCTCAGGTTGGTGCCCCAACAAAACCTTTCGACAGACTTGTCGATGAGGGCGGGATTCTTGACGAGGAAGGTACTGGATTCGTACCACGCCTTAACTAGCTCGAGCCTTGTTGGGTCGTCGATAGTAAAGTAGTTGGGCTTTAGTAGGCATTCGTATGGTCAACGCGTTCTCTTGTTCGGTTCCGTCATGGAAGGAACGATGGTGCGGTCCTTGTGGTGCACCTTATAAGTGTCCAACTGGACGCGTTGATCCTGCCAGATGAACCCATATACCATCTTACGAAGTTCTATGGGCAGGCGGCCTTCTATATCCCGAAGCAATTCACGGCAAGGTCTTGCCTCATGGTTCGAGATGAGACGGGTGACCTCGGGTTGCGTTCGGTCAATTTCATTCTGGGCCATTCCTCGAGCTGTGAAAATTGCATGGTCACTTTCGCTTGTTGAAAGCGAGTCCATGCTTTCGCTTCCCAAGAGATCATTAAGAGCGCTGACAACCGGATAACAGACACGTAGTCGATCCGATGCGCTACCTGATATTAATGACTGCCTCTGAGATAACGCAAGGGTGCCACATACCGGTGAAGGTTCTCTTCGTATTCTTCTTGGGCCTCGTCGGTGTACACGGGAATTCTGCCCAAGATTGATGAACCTATTTGGGGTCTTTTTCCCAGTTAGCTGCTAAGGTCTGGAGGTTTATCACTGTTACTCACTGTTGTGCCATCTTATGCCACGCAGTATAGTTAATCCTAAAACTATGTGGCTATTTCTAGAACTTAAATTGTGAGCAGATGAAATGCTCCATGAACAAAAATGTTGGGGGGGAGTGCGAGTTTAAGTAACAACGGGGCGCATCCAAACACTTGCGTATTGGCGTCAGATATGACTGTGGTGTACCTTGGTAGTTGAGATGAGATTTCATTGAGAACCATGGTTGCGATACACTGAAGCCAACCTTGGAAGGCTTACATTCGACACGTGACGGCGTCCGATAGCCTATAGCCGCCCTCTGCATTGAGACGAGAATTTTGCGGTTGGACGCAATTTTACCTGTGGGCGAGTCGTGCAATGCGAGAGTTCCAACCATCGCCACTGATCTAGTCAACATACGGGTCCGCGTACTGGTCCAAGTAGTCCGAATCATAATTACCATCCTCATCGAACATGCGATCATAGTCCGAATCATCTTCATCTGTGAAGTACTCACGCGACATGAGCGTTTTGCGTTCCTCAATAGCCGCGTGAATCTTCTGTGCCCACCCTTCCACAGTAGTCTCCTCCGGTTCTACCAGGAATGTCAGGTCACACTCCAATTTCACGATAACCTTGTATCCGGCAATTGTCAGGCGCCGCAGTACTGGGAATAGCCATCCCGCGAATCCCGCATATTCTTTCATTGTAGGAACATACGGGTCCATCAAGTCAGATCCCTCCGGAATGAGATCCCATAAACCGATGGCAATGGTAGCACTCTTTTCGAGTACGAAGAGAGAGTTGAGCTGTTGCGAGTAGCCGGTCTGATTGACCGTGAGGTCGTGTTCAGGCATCGCTATTTCTACTTTTCGTACATGCTTCAGTGGTTCGAAGCCAGCACTCCATTGAGACCGAGAGTGAAAGGTTTTGATGGTGTTGGCTTCTCCGATATAGAAGGTAGAACTGCTGTACCACGCTGTGATCAACTCTTGCCTTATGACAGGGTAGTCTTCGAAATAGCCAGTTGGTTTCAGTAGATAGCTGTAAGGGATAGACCTTTCTTTTAGCCAGTCTAGGGGATGATCGATGGGGCCGGAGTTTCCGCTTTCTTCTCTTACCAAGACACGTGAGTCTTGAAACATGTATCCATAGATTATATCGCGGACTTCCCTGGGTAGGGGTACAGGGCCATCTTGCATCTCCTGGCACAGCCGATGATAGCGAGGAGCTTCGCGAACCATGATGCAACGATCAATTTCTTCCAAGGTCCGTTTGATGGCGGTTATAGCGCTACGTTTCGCTGCGTGAAACGCATCCATCTCTGACTTTGGTGTATAGTCTATTACGCTGCCGTACATGCGATGCGAAGCCAAGATTCCTTTGTAGGCTTTCAGTCGTGACGCCGCCCTATGGGAAGTTAACAATGGTTTTGTTCGTGGTGAAGACTTGCTACGTACTGTCGAAGGTAGACGCAAAACTCTGTCTCATAGTCATCGTCCATAAGATCTGGACGTCCTATAAGGTATGAGAGACCGGTGGGGTGTCTTCTGCTCGTTAGCTATCGAGACCTGCCAAACCGATGTAGTAACTCACTGATGTGCCATCTCGTCTGCGGCAATATAGGTAGTATGAGTTCTATACTATCGTTGAATATAGAACCTGTCTTACGGGGTAGTACGACAAAGGTCGATGCAAGAGTGAAGTTGTAGAAAGTGAGGGGAATCAGAGTTTAAATATTGGAACCCGGCCTCCGAGATCGCCGAGATAGCCGCAACAAGGATGTTGGATTGCCGTTCTCTTATTAGTTCTTCTTACTATTGTCTTCCAGTTGTGGGGTTGTAGAAACTAGGTCGCGCCAACAAAAGCTGCAGTAGAGAAATCACGGCTGGAGGATACCATGGGTTTGACGATCTCAGGCCTGCGTACACGCGCCCGCGCTTGCACCTAGTACCCTTTACGTAGTTTATCACCTGACCCGGTCTGCCCATTTTCCCGACCTAGGTACTGCTGTCGCTTCCGGAACAGCGTTTTCGAGGTCCATGAAAATAGTGTCATGATGTGAGAGCCAATTACGCAGTAAGGAGATCATTATAACCGCGCGGTACCTAGTTTCAAACCGAGCATGCGATGTTTTCTGGGATGGTACGAACGGATGAGAGCTCCACTATACCCAAAGAAAAAGCTAGATAACCGTGACAAGCCAGTATCAGACCTAGAAGTCTACATTGCCTGTACGTGACCGAACTACTGTTTTCAAACTCATGTAGACCGCAGAAATCACTCGTTTTCCCTCAGCCATCTCTCCACCCAACGAACCCCTCGTTCCACCACAATCTCACAATTAAGTAACGGTCGGACTATCATCTTGTATCCCAAACTCCTCATACGCAGTGATACTGGGAATAGAGAGGCTGCGCGATTCTCGATCTCCCGCATAGTAGGCCATCGAGGGAACATATCCACGACAATCTTGATGGTTGTGCCTGGCTTGAGACATTCGAGACATTCGAGATCTTTGCAGACGGCCTCGCGCATCATGGTGGCTTCCAGAGGTTTTGTCCTTAATTCCACTCGTCTGATGAGTTGGACTGGGTCCAGACCAGCGCTCCATGGGTACTTCTCCAGAGAGGGGCGAATAAGTGCCGCATCCGTGATGATGAAGTTTGATGTCCGGAACCATGCCTCGATAAGCTCAGTTCTTATTTCAGAGTCATGTATATATCCTGGCTTGAGTAGGTAGCTGTAAGGATAGTGTCTTCCAATATCTGACTTCTCACAGACCGGAGTGTCGTCATCGTTATCGGCTTCGGCATCCTTCGCTTCCAACAGGACATACGTGCCCTGAAAGATATATCCAAAAACCATCTCACGGAGCTCCTTCGGTAAACGATCCTGTATTTTCTGGAAGAACGCACGACAATGTGGGCCTTCCTGGATCATGATACGTTCGTCGACTTCGGCTGGAAGTCGAGCGAGGATGTTCGAGAGGCTGTGGTCCGCTGCATCGAAGGTTTCGCACTCTGTTGGCGTGGCAAATTTGAATTTGCCATTCAGCTTTGGCACATAAGCCAGAAATTCTGCACGCCCTCGATAGTCTTCGAGCCATGCGCTTGCGCTGGGTTGTGTTAGCATGTGTCTTCACGACAAAGAGATCGTGTTATATACTCTCTAAGGTAGTCGTGGTACTCTTCCTCTTGAGGGTCATCATAGCTATCAACAGGATTGTCCCCATAGAATGAACCTGGGTTGCGTCTCGAGACTTTTCAGCTGCCATATCTGAAGCAGAGTCATAGCTACTCACTGGTGTGCCATACTGTTCAGTGCAATATTGTTGTGGAGCTGTGTTGCAGGTTGAAAGGTGGAAGCAGTAGAAGCCTGCGTAGTGTTCAAAGAAATTTAAAGGGCAGATGACTGCGCGAATTATAGCTGTTTTCTCTTTGGTCTGGTAAATTTCGGGTTCACGGAGCCTGTGAGTGGCTTACCGTCGTTGAATGTCATTACAGTACCACTGGATGAAGTGGATAGCAACCAACGTATGCATCAGGACCCATGGTAGCGACGGTAAATTCGGATTGCGCACTCGCGTCGGCCGCAGGCACAAGAGCAAGCGCATATATTCCATGGCACTAGACCGCGGCCTCCCCACCTGATGTGACAATAAGAGGCTATCCAAGAGTAAGACTGCCCTCCAAGCTACCTCATCGGCGCCCTATGTACCTCGCATTCATACCCTACTTCCCCCTACGTGTCCTCAACACCCTTCCTCCTCTACTCGTATCGCTCTCCACAGCACCACTATCCCCACTCTTTGCTTCTCGTCTGGCTCGCCCCTTATTTCGCACTCTCTCTTCCGTCCTCGAAACCCTGGCGCCTCTTCTAGCGTTCCCCTCAGAACCCCCACTTTGCTCATCCTCACCTTCTGTTTCGCGCTTAGCCAGCGCCTCATTTTGGACCCGCTCTTCTATCCTCAACACTTTGATTCGCCATATCCGCTGCTCCACGCTCAACTTCAGTTCTTCTAATTCACGCTTCTCCGTTGCCGTTGCATTCGCTGGAAGTTCAGGTAAAGAGGCCAGGAGGTTCATAGCCTCGATCTCGGCTTCTTCCGTGGCATCTATCGGTTCGTGCGTTTCACTATCCGGTGCCGGGTTCTCTGCGTTGTCCAAAGCCAGGTCTTCGTCGTTGTGTGCGTTAGGTATGATCGCAGCCTCTTCTTCGTCTTCTGCAGCAGATATTCCGGGTGGTTGCGTCGGAGTCGGAACATTAAGAGTGATGTTGTCGTTATCCAGCTGCCAGTGCGGCTCCCTTATACGCTGCTGCTCGAGCCTCGATAGTCGCTTCTTCCTCTTCCTGCTTTTCTCTCTCGCCTCATTGCCTTCGAGATCTGAGAGGAAACCAGTGTCATCCGGTACCCGGGGGTCGGGGTCTTGATGCACTAAAGTCGGTAGTTCGACTGCCAGAGGATCGGGGATCGCGTCTTCGTTTGCTTTCCGTCTCTTGCCTCTTGGTGGTGGTTTAGGTCGCGTTGGCTTCTTCACGGCGGATGCATCGGGGTTTAGGTTGACTTTGACAGGCCGTACGCCGGAGAGGTACTGGTATTTCCCGCCCGCGAGGGGCTCGGACGAGCCTTCTTCCTCCTCTTCCTCCTCGTCGTCGTGGTTGACAGGTGTTTTCGGCACCTGTATACGGGTATTCCGGGTTGTGCGGCCACCTTTCCTTTCCTTTGCATCTGACTCCGGACTTGCTAGCCCAGCTCCCATTTCCTCGGCATCTCTTTCATATTGTTTCAAGACGGCTTTCAGATCTACAGCTTTGGCCCGGCTCGACCTGCCAGCCGCAGATTTGTTCTTCTGTTGACGCATCTTGACAACTTCCTTCAGTCTCGTTGTGAAGTCTGGGAGAGTAGCGCCAGGTAATGATGAGATCTCGCTTAGAAGTATAATGATGTCGGCACCCCATTGAGGAAAAAGGTCCTGGGGCCACATTGGACGTGGAATGCAGTCTTTGGCGAATTCGAGATGCCAGTTGGTCATGATGGTGGTGACATGTTGTTTCAAGGACCTTGGAAAGATGTAATTGAGTTCTGTTTGGATGGCTTTCGACAGATCAAAATCCTTCGAAGGTGCCATTTTCGCGTTCAAACGGCAGGGTCGTGAATATTGTCCGTGTTATTGAATAGTCGAGTGAAAAACATAAGAACTATTAGATGGAGGAGATGGAATTCGTAATTCTGGCGCGTGTGGAGGCAGCATCGTGGTTTGGGGTGAAGACATCGAATGAAGCGGCTGGTGCAGTATTTCCAGGGTAAAAAAGGCGGTCAATGCTCATTGCCGTCAGCCACGCCGACTCGAAGAAGCTAGCAGCAACCTGCAGCTATAGATTCCTTTGAGTGGCTTCCCCACGCCTGCGTTCTAGCCTTGGAGGCATTTGCAGTGTGCCAAACGTCGCAGGATGCCGGGGAAGCTCAGAGGATTGTTTACTGAGGAGTGGGTCTGATGATGTCATCAAGTTACTTTAGGCGCGTTTTTGGTTTAAACTATTGCGGTAAGCTCGGATTCAATAGATTGGCTGCGCAAAAGCTGGTGAACATTGAGATGTGTCGTATCTTCTGAATTCCGCACACCCAAGCTTCCGTCTAGAGACGCCTCCAGATGTTGTACAGGTCGTGTCGCGTATATGATACAGGTATAGCACAAAGCTGAGGAGAGTGTGAACGCCGCCCGCTGCCGAAACCTGCCTGCGGTATATGCCAAACATCCCAAAAACACCGCTTGCCCAGACATCAGACATGTCGCTGCCCGCCCGCGGCTGATAACGGTTCGCTCTGAAGAGGTATAAATCGTGAATCGAAAACGTTTTACGCGGCCACAGCCATGCCGCCGCCGCCAGATGGTGCGCCCACGTCGGCTGGTGGTGGTGGGGGCGCATCGAGCCTTGTGTTGTCGGCCATCATACGATTGAAGCCAATTGAGACACCCTCGATAACAGCCAGCAGAATAGCACATGATATCGCGCCGTTTCGCATCGACCTGTATCCTCCTCGTACCGCGAGCGAGCCACCTGTGAAGAATCCTGCGATGATGGCGTTCCACGGGTCTTCCTTCTTCCTTATTCCCTTGACTGCGCAGTCGTATGTGTTAAAAAGTCCTCCCCAGACGCCGAAGTTGCCGCCGAGAACAGGCGCGCGGGCTTTGATCGCTGTGATGGCGCCGATGCGTCGCTCGCCGTAGGGTGAGTTACGGAACTGCAGATTGTAAGCGCAGACCTTTATGATGTTGAAAAGACACTTACACCCTTCACACCATGCCATACTGCTCCTCCGACAGCCTAATGCGGTATTAGTATACGGGCCAGAGATGCAGCGCTGGTGGGGACATACACCCATGGCAAAGGCACCGCCAAAGTCATTGAGAATGACCCAGGGACAGGGATCGCGCGAATGATCCATTACGTATTATTAGAGGATGGGATGTGTTTTGGGCGATTCCGGGGGTGAGGCGAGGGCGTGGGCGAGCTCGTGGTCGGACGGTAGCCACCGGTGACGATGTGCTTCGATGGAATTTCTTGAGGACCCTTGCTGCTTCGGCGCTAGCGGCAAATCTTCGGGACTGGCGCGACCACTTCTGCCGTCAAACCTCCTTCGGTGTCTCGTCACTCACCATCAGAACCATCTATGCGGCGTCATTTACTCGCTTGTTTGGATTTATATGCCACTTTCTCGGTCATTTGTCAGCCATATCTATGTCACACAATGCTGCTACGAATTGCTCCTCCGTGCGGCACGCATCACCTGCGGCTATGCATCCAGCATAACCAATGAATCCATACTGCAATAGTTGGACCAATTCATCTCGACGTCAGCTACGCTCATTTCGTGATATCAACAGCTATTCGACATACGGGTGACGAGTTTCTTCTCTGTCAGCCTCTCTCTCGCGCGATGCGTTCGCGGCTTCTTCGTTAACTCTGACTATTGTCATTTCCATATCTTCAGCGTCAATTCCTTGCACTATGTTTTCGGGGCTATGTGCATAGCCTCGGAGGTGAGAGTGTGACCTGGACGTCACTCTCAGACCACGTACAAAAGAGATGATTTCTCGACGGAGTTCTCAGACCTACACGCAGGTAACGTACAAGCCTCTGTCGTCCATCCAACTCATGTCTTCTCCTCGCTGCAAGCTGAGCTCAGGCGTATCATGCATTCACCGTCCACCGCTCCAGAAGTGGTACCAGACTCGCGCTCACCCCGACATTTCTGCCCTCTCGTCCTAGAGCTTCTACGCTCGTCCAATGGTTTGCATTTGCGTACTGCTCCTGGACCCTGCTTTGGAGTCTGTGTCACCTTGGATTACTGCCTAGAGTCAAGTCTTGGCGCTCGCGCTCTCGTTGTCATCAACTTTGCTACCACGCCTTCTCACCGACTTACCTGTACCACTACACCATTTGACTTCCAGTATAACCTGTCAAAATGGTGGGCGCTACTCGCCGCGGCGCACTGAAGGAGACCATCAAGCGTCCGGTCACCCCCAGCGACGATGGCACGATTGCGGACGCACCGCTTGAAGGTACTACCAATGCCGACACACAACAACCGGTACTCCACCCCGCGCGCGACGACGTATCGCGACTGAGTGAGGGCCTTGAGCCGCTTCACCTGGTCGGGCAAGATGGTGAGTTACAGACTACAACCCGGAGCTGAGTACTCATCACTTACTACTATCCAGATCCACAGCATACATACGACGCTTCCGCGGCAGCAGAGATTGATCCGCTTGGACAACAAGTCAAGGAAGTGATTGCGACGATCAATCGACTGGAGGGCCTTGGCCTACAGAGGCTGAAGATACCTCTGCCGAAATGTATCGTCCTGGGTACGTCTTGCGTAACAGTATCTAGTTGCTCTGTACTAATATCGGCGCCAGGCGAGCAGTCTACTGGTAAATCTTCTGTTATCGAAGCTATCTCCGGCATCAAGACGCCGAGAATGGATGATACATGTACCAGATGTCCACTCTTCATTAAGCTCGAGCCTTCCGATAATACTCGCGCCAGCTGGAGTGCAAGTGTTAGTCTGCGACGGACTTTCAACTACGATATCAACAAGGTCCGAGGATCCGAGTACCGGTACCCTGGCTGGCTCGAGATGGATCGGCCAAACGTCGTGCATTTTGCGGATACAGAAAACCCGCATGAACTCGAGGAAATCATCGCACGCGCTCAACTGGCCATCATCAACCCTATGACGCCCTACACGGAGTTCCTCGGATCAACCGTTACTGCGCTTCGAAAGAAACCACACTGCGACTTCAGCCCCAACATCGTCTGCATCGAAATCTCTCACCCAGACGTTCCTTCTCTCAGCTTCTACGACTTGCCAGGCATCATCAACCAAGCTGAAACCGTGGACAAGGAATACTTGGTTGAGTCTGTTCGAAACATTGTGATGGACTACGTCAGCGACGAGGAATCTCTCATCCTTGTGACCTGCTCGTTAGACACAGACATCGCCAACTCAACGGCAGGAGGCATTGCGCGGAAGCTGGGCGCTACAGACCGATGCATTGGTAAGCGTAGTCACCTCCCATGATGGAAGTCGTACTAACAAGTTCAGGTGTCCTCACCAAGCCAGACCTTATTCCCGACGGTTCCCGCCACGACAAACTCCTGGAGGTCTTTGACGAGAAGCGCTTTGCATTGGGACATGGATACTTCGTCGTCAAGAATCTGAACCAGGCAGAGATGAAGCGCGGTTTGACCCATACGCAAGCTCGATTCGAAGAGCACAAGTTCTTCAGTCAAGGAACGCCCTGGTCAACTGCGTTCAGCCACTATCAACACCGATTCGGTACACTGAACCTGCAAAGCTTCCTTTCCGGGGAGCTTGCTGCTCAGATGACGAAAAAGCTTCCAATCATCGACCAGGAGATCAATGCCAGGCTGGAACAGGTCCTAGCCGAACTTCGAGAATTCCCGGATCCTCCTACGCACAACGCCCCTAGAATCATCTCGGACGTCGTACTCGACTTCTCGCACAACGTACGTAAGGAGCTTGAGGCCGAATTCCCTTGCAAGGCGTGGCGCAACAACTGGAAGACACTGCAGAAAGGGTTCTTCGATGCCCTCGCTAGCATGAAGCCCACGATGTCGACAAGCGGAAGCAGGGATGTGCCCGTCTACATCGACGTCCTGGGAGTGCAGCCTGGCAGCTCCGCCAGTAAAGCTATTGCTGTAGACGACGATGATGACGACGATGAGGACTACATGGACGATGGAGATCGCGATACGCCGATGTCTAGCAACCCCGAGACGCCTACAAAGAAGCGCAAGCTCGGCGATACTCCAGGTCCCTCACCAGCTAAGACTCCCAGCCGTCGCGGTCCCCCAAAGACCCCCGAAGGCAAAACAGCGATGCCAAGCACGGACTTCAGCGAGCTCAGGAAGAAGTTTCTCCTTGATCAAGTCACGCAACATTTAGCGGAGAACTCCCAGAGCAAAGTGCCGGGGCAGATCGAACCGCGCGTCGTCGATAACATGATGCTCGAGACGCTCGAACATTGGTCGCAACCGCTTCACGAATTCTTCAACACGCTCGAAGGTCAGATCGTCGATCAAATCAAGGTTGTGTTCCACAAGCACTTTTCCAAGTACCAGGGATCGATCTTCTGGCGCACTGCTTGGGAGATCGTTGAACAAATGGTCAGCTTGAACTTTACTGAGCAGCGCAACACCATGGCCAACGAGAGTCTAAATGACGAGAGGGAAGGTCCTTTCATCTTCCATGACGAGCTTTTCGAGCTTGAGAAGGAAGCGGTACTAGAACACTATCGTCAGGCTCGGCTCAAGGCTCGATTCAACATCTACAAGCGCGACAGATTGAAGCGCACAGGGAAAGAGACTACCCCGCAAGAAGAAGATAGGATGAGGAAGGACGCCAGGGTCATGGCGGTGTTGAACCATGAACCCTACGTCGTCGAGATCGGAGTTGTGGCGCAGGTTACTACATACTACATGCTAGCAGCCCGCCGCTTCCACGACGCTGTATGTATGAGGATCGAATCCAAGTTCTTCAAGCAGCTTCGCACCCAACTTCGCGACGAACTTGAGGGCGGGCTGGGCATGAACGACGGCAGCCAAGGTAAGCCTCGTTCTCTCTCACTACATGAGCATCATACTAATTTCCACAATGCAGCCTACGACAACGCCGTTCGCCTCCTCTCCGAATCCCCACAACGTTTCAATTTACGCAAGGAGCTCAGCGGTCAGCGTGACTCTTTGCTCAAAGGCCAAGAAATTCTGCGCGACCTCCAGAACAAGAAGTACGGTACCGCCAAGTCTTCTGGCGCATCCAACGGTGGCTCGCACACTCGTCGCTCCAGTGCTTCTGGCGGCATACCTACACCGGTGTCGGCAAATATGGAGGACGTCGATATGGCAGGCGTTCCGCGTCACTAGTCTGGTGGTTGTACATCCGTGGCTATGGCCATGTTCTGGAAACGATACGATACGTGAAGCTTGCGATGTTGGTGGACGAGGAACACTGTTTGCAGGAAGGTTTCCGTGGTCTACGTACGCGCGGACCAATGGTCAAGCGAAGCAGTTGCATAGGATGAGTATTGTCGCCATGGTCCATTTCTGGCAGCGTTGACTGACGACTAGCTGTCGCGCGGACGCTCATGTATGACGCAGTATACGTAGCGAAAGCACCTCGTCTCTTCAATCTGACTTGCTAATATGACATGTGGAATGTGAGTGTATGTCAACGTCTTAACATTCTATTCTACAGATCTTGAGATAAGGAGGAGCGCTTCGCACGATATCCGCGAGGCGATTGGGCGAAACCCTCCTCCTACTCTAGGCCACTGTTCCTTCCTCATCACCTTCGCCATTTCCCGCTCCTACCCTGACGTCTACTCCGTCATCTCCACCCTCCCCAGCTCCACCTTTTCCGTTCTGCTCTTGCTCTTCTACATCTCCGGCATCACCACTCTGTCTCTGCCCGCGCTCATCCCCACCCGGCCCAACCGTCTCACCCACTCTCTGGGGTCTTCCAAGACTCCTCGCACATGCATATGCCTCAGCAACACGAAGCTGCTCTTCAGAGACTTTCAACTGGCGGCATGCTTGCTGGTATTCAGTTTCGCTCCGAAGAGCAGCGCGGACACGCTTGTCTTGCGCTACTTTGACCGCCGCTTCAGCAACTACCACTGCGTCCCAAGCTTCTGATACTTCGAGCGACGCTTCATCACTACGTACGGCGTAACGTCGTTGCCCGTCCGGTTGTGCTGCTGGTGGTGCCACTGGTTGCGCTGCCTCTGGCTGAGAGCCCAGCTCATCCGCATCACCCTCATCGCCTGATAGTCCTAGCGAGTCCTCCGATACCGATACCCAGCGGTAGCTCCTAGCAGTAGCAGTGATAGCTTGATAAACCGCCTTGAGATTGTATCGTTTCATTCTCTTGAAGCGTAGCGCCAGCTCCTCGCTGATCTTCTTGCCTTGTCTTTTGGTAGGAAAACGCTCGGATAAATCACGAAGCAGCTCGATGATCACATCTTCAATACCAGTATCCTCTGGGGCGTCGATATCAGCTCCGCGCAGCATGGCTGGGAAGTCGCGATGGAGGGAATGAATGCCCCAGTTGGAGTATATGCGGGCGAGTGCCGTGTCTTTATCATCTGACGTGTGTATGGTCTGGGCTTCGGGTGGTTCGCTGAAGAGGCTTGAAGTGTCATCGTCGTTGCCGTCTGCTTCGTTTGCGTTGCTCATTTCCCTTTCTGTCTGCTGTGCTCCCTCTGCTTCGTTTTTTCCGTGCGATCTTAGTCTCCGTCTGAACTCATTTACCGCCCCATTATTGGCTGGCTGGGCTGCAGGCTTAGGATTGGGTGCTGGGCTAGGCTCATCGTCTTCTGCTTCGTCTGATTCGGGAACAACCGTGTCTTCTTCCTCTACCTCGGATGTGATCGTGTCTTCTTCATCTTGATCGTTGCTGGCGGTGGCGGTGGTGGTAGTGTTGTTCTTCTTTGTCTTCTTCCTAGATGCCTGTTTCTTGCTACCCTCCTTTCCCGCTGCTGGTCTCTTCTTCGTGTTGTTGACTTTGAACTTCGCTGGGTCTATGAAGTTGTTCCCGAGTAATTTTCCCAAATCCTCGCAAATATAACCCATCTTTTTCTCCTTTGTACTCCCTATCGGTCCTGCGTTTTTGTTGTGGTATCTCCGAATATAATACTGCTCGATTTGGTCTTTGACTTCTTGGCCCCGATTCGGAGTGTTACGTGACAGATCTCGGAAAGCGCGTATAGTCGTCATGTCGCAGGTGAACTCTGTCATTCTTTCTGTGTTACCCTGAAGCCAGGTGTCGACGTGCATCCAGCTGCGCATGGTGGAGAAAGTCTGGCCCCAGTTTGTGATAATGGTGGCGATCGCCTGTCTTCGTTCCTGGGCTTCGGCCCGGGTGTCTCCAGGGGGTTCGGCTCCTTTGAGGTTGGGCGTCTTTGGTGGCATTGCGTTGAGGATGTCTTGAGAGTTGCTTGGACTGTACTTTCGGCTTACGGCTCTGCTTACTTTAAGATAGTCGTGTGCATGTCCATCTCTTTCTATTGTTTGTTTCCGAGCAAGCACGCTCTTTGAGCTTTGGACGAGACATCGCTCCAAAAGTTTCCAAAGCAGTACTAGTGTTCAGCAGAGCAATCTGACATCTGGAAGATGGTGATGTAGAGTGTACCGCTGCATTGTCAGCATCATCGTCGATGACATGGGAAGACGCAAGTGTGGCAGTTGATGCTGCCGAACATACGAACAAACAATGAAAGTCTTAATTTACCTCGATCACATCCATTGATGAATACACGGCTCATCCAAGTTTCACTGGTGCAATAGAAAGAGAGTGCCATGATATCTTGTTAGTCTATCAAAGTTTGCTAGGCGCTGACGGCACGTCCTTCCGCTACTCCTTCTCCTTCTCCTTCTCCTTCTCCTTCTCCTTCTCCTTCTCCTTCTCCTTCTCCTTCTCCTTCTCCTTCTCCTTCTCCTTCTGGTTCCTCTTACTCTTGCGTTTCACTCTACCTTCTCCATCATTCCCTCCACTCCTCCCTTCACCGTTTCCTCCACCGTTCTCCCCCTGCTCTCGTCCTCCATTCTCACCTTCCTCCACACCCTCATTCCGCGGGCGTTCCAATCCAACGTCACCGGTAAAGCCCCCAAGACCATCACCCATCGTACTCAATCTCGACCGTGCTCCTGCCCAGCGTTGCTGTAACTCATCCGTCCTCGCATACGCTGCGTCACTCACTCCTCGAGCTTCTTCTATCCCCAACAGCAGAGCGGCTTGATCTTGAACAGACTGTCCATTGAGAACGGCATTCTCGTATTCACGGCGGGCTATCTCAATGCGTTGATCAGCTTGTCTACTATCGTTGAGAGCACGGCGTAGCGTCCAGTTCGTCCCTATAGTCAGTACACCATTTTCGAACCGCGACAGTCCTGGCTGTGTCGCAGCTTGCGAAGTTCGGAATTCATGGTTTGTCAAGGGGGGTGCTGTTGTCGGATAACGTTCGCGGTTTCGACGCCTGCGCTCTCTTTCTTCTTCGGTAAGTACCATCGGCTCTCCAGGCGGATCATCGTCACTCCTCGATTGCCTTGCTAGCATTTCAGCGGCGCTAAGTCTAGTGGTACCTGGTGTTGGGAGGGGAGCACCTCGCTCTAGTTCTCCCATCGATGACCCTCCCCTTAGGTTTGCTGTAGTTACCCTGGTCGTTGGTCCTCCTGGTGTCGGTACTGCGGCGTGCGTCGGCCGATCAAACGGCGCAAGGAAAGCAAGGGCTTCATCCGTACTCCTCGCCATGATAAAACTCTGCATCAATTGAGCCATTATCCGGTCCATGAGAGCAAAGGCCTGCCGAGGACTGTTGTAAAGGTTGGACAGGTCAAGCAATCGTGCGAGGAGTCTGAGGTCGATGTCCGTATCGCTCGTTATGTTGGTTGGAAAGAGGCCTCGGGGGAATTGGAGATGCAACTGGTAGAGGCTCCAGTTGATATAGATGTCACTGAGTGCCTGGCGCCTGCCCGCTTCTGTGAGTACTGTGGGTCGCCCAGCGTTGCTCGCTGTTCCAGCCGCCAGCGCTTTGCCGTTCTGCTTTGCGCTTGCCGCTGCCTTTCCGCCACCGTCTGCATTCTTCGGGGCTGGTCCGTCGTGGAGTATGATACTGGAACCTGAGCTAGAGTCATCTTCTTCGTCTTGGTGTAGGTGGTGAGGATCTAGGTCGTTGTAGTTCGGCTTTGCGCTATGCCTCAAGGTCTTCCTGCGCTCAGACATCTCTTTACCGTCATCTCCTGCAGATCTCTTCTTGCCTTTGCCCTGAGCTTCGGCCTGCTTCTCGTACTCCTTTAGTATCCTCTCCAAATCATCGCGCAGGCTCTTCTGTTTCTCAGCCGGCGTACTACCTATATCGCCAGTCTTTGACTTTCTCGTGTTCCAGCGCGACTCAATTTTCTTTCTGACTTCTTTGCCGAGATTAGGAGTTGCGTCGGATAGCTTCCGCAGTTGTTTAAGGGTGTCTGGTTCACATGTGTGTTCAGTCAAGTCCTTCGTTCGACCTTTGAGCCAAGTATTTGCCGGTATGCAGCCCCTCAGGGTACGGAACTTTGGACCCCAATTCCTAGCCATGGCATTCGTCTCTTGTCTTACTCGTTGAGCGTCCGTCAGAGCAGGGGCTGGGACAGGTGCGATCACCGGCGCAGCTGCATTACCCACAGGAGGGGGAGGCGGAGGATCACTCGCAGTCGCCGGTCCAGCTACTTCGTCATCTAGTTCAGTCAAGTAGTTAAGCAGCTCTTCTTCATCTTCAGGAACAGGTTCGCGGTGCGGCTTCTGTACGCCATCTTCTACTGCCTCATCCGCCTCATCATCAACCATCATACTGTCTTCCCTTGTATCAGGATCCGCATCAGATGTGGCTGGTATCGCCGGTGCAGCTGACGCAGTGGGTACAGTGGGAGCGACGGGTACCTCGTTGTCGTTGTTCTCGTTACTATCGTTCTGTTGCCTCTGTCTTCGTTCTCTGTTCTCTTCTCGTAGCGAGCGAGTAAACTTGGTTTTCCCTTTTGGCAACATTGTGAGATCCGCTTCTTCCGTGTTTTGCTTCTTTTTCCCCATAGAGGCTGAATAATAAGATAGGTGAACAATTGCAGTTATCTTAGGGACGGAGTGAACTGTGACCTCAGCTTACGACTCTCTTTGGATATATACAAGCCCTCGCATAACGGTCTCATTCCATCGTTTGCATCCAAACAAACTCGTTCTTTCATCTCTTAAACCTGAACGGCATTTAGTTGGTACTAGTTTCTCGTAGAGCAATCTAGAATCCAAGCACTCGCATCTCGAAAATGCTTCGCGTTATCGAGAGCATCGTTGGCTGGTGGCATCGGGATAAACGAGTCTACCTAGGTATTGAATCTTAACGTTTAGTATTGGAACAAGTACATGAGAGTCTTAATATCCTCTCTTAACGTATCACACACATATCTAAACAGATCTTGGAGTCTTACTATTTCAGCTAGAGGACACTGACATGAGAAGATATCGTTTAAACACGACTACTAAACCGTATCCTTTCACGTTTGCGTTACCCAACTACATTCTTCAATTCACGACTTCGTGACTGTCCACATTCCCATCAATCTATTCATCTCACTCTTCCTCCCCGTCGTCTTCCCTATCACTCTCTCGTTCTGCATCCCTTTTCTGCTGCGCCATGATATTTTCAAGACGCTCAACTTCCCGATGCCTAGCCGCACTTCGAAGCACGCTGTCCTCGTACCTGAGCAAATGTCCCCTTTCATCTCGATCAGTGCGTGCGGCAGCAATTCGAGCTGCTCGCAGTAGAACCCTGGTGTCGGAAGTCGTTCCCATGTTGTCGGGATGCGATGGACGCTGTCCTTCAGCGGCGGCGTAGAACTGCTCGCCAGCCACTGCGATGACCGCAAGGATGTCGTCTAGAGAGGTACTTGTACGCGGGTTCATGCTGTCATGCAGCGCCTGTCTGACGGCTTGACCTTGCTCTGGTGTATTGGTGATGTTGGATAGATCGCGTATGTGCTCGAGGATGGCCCGGGGAATGTGCTCATCTGCGTCTTCGCCCATTTCAAACCAGCGTTGTGGCAAGAACTCCAGAACAGAATCGATGCTCCAGTTCTGGCGGATGAGATCGAGTGCGTCTCTTTGCTGCTGTAATGTCCGTATTCGGTTGCGTAGAGAGCTGTCAGGGTCCGATGCTTGTTGTCTTCCACTTTGCTTCTCAGCCGGTTGCTGGCCATCTTTCCTTGGCCTCTTGCTTGGCTTGCCGCTACTTTGGTCTCCATCGTCCTCATCATCTGACTCGTCGCCGACATCAGCCATGGCGTCCGACTTCCGCTTGCGCGATTGTTCCTTGCTGGCTCGTCCTAGATTGCTTCTGTCTTTCGTTGCCGACTTTGCAGAGCTCTGCGGCTTTCCTCTCTTTTTCTTAGGTCCTGATGCCGCTCCAGCCCCCCGAGGGGTCGCAGGTATCTCTCTATGCGTCTCCGGGTCAATCCTGTCCCCTTTACGTAGCCTTTTGATATCATCAACCAAGTTTTTCTCCTTCTCTACGGCACTGCCCCCTATCCTTCGATTAGCCCCTGTACTCCCCCTTTTATCGAAGAATAAGCCAATTTGCTCTTTCATTGCATCGCCTTGTCCTTGAGTCTCGTTTGACAGCCCTTCGAACTCGTCAATGGTATCTAGTTGCCAGCTCTTGTCTTCGTAGTCCTTGAGTCCGCGCGAAAGCCACTTCTTTTCTGGGATGCACTCTCGGATGCTTCCAAAGCCCCAATTTCGCTTGATGGTAGCGGCCGCTTGAGTCCGTCGTTGAGCTTCAGATGCTTCCCCATCATCACCCTCATCGATGACCACAACAGTTTTGGCAGGCACATGCTTTCGCGGTTTTCTTGCTACACCGGCACGCGTAGGACGTTGTGCGAGTTCATCTTCTGTTTCTTCAGGTAAGTGGTACGAGTCCCCTGTGTCATCCCTTTCTCCCAGCACTTCCTCGTCCTGCTGCTCTTCCGCCGTATCGTTCTCGTCGTTATCCACTATCGGGATTTCCTCTTCTGAATCTAGGGCTGGATCTGGTTCGATGTCCTGCTGAGGATTGTCTCGACGGTCCTTGCTGGGTCTTGTTTTCGGTGGCATTGTGGGATCCGTATCCTTGGCGTTGTCACTGACTGTGTCGTAAAGGCTGGATGGTAAGATGGGTAAACAGCCCCAGTTCAACATTACCTCCTCATTAATACACCCACCCACCAATCCATCCCCTTCTACGCTTGCTTTCCCGCAAACATCTTGCTTTATCCCTACTTTCCCGAACGCGCTGGAAGAGCCAGGTCGTTAGAAGAAACAACTTGCGCGAAAACGAGAGTAACGAGGTGCAAAAATTACATTATCTGTAATCCCCCATTCCCATCTTCCGACCGTCAAGCATAAAAGCCCACCCATCTCATACCATCTGCCCATCCATCCATCTCTCTATGCCCACCCAGCCTCAACGCCAGCCATCGCTTTAGATATTAAACCCTCAAAATATACATACAAGTAAAGCGAACCCACAACGATCAGGAAAAAAGATGAAGAGAAAGGCGTAGTTCAAAAGGAGGCTGTATATCCCCACTCCGCCCCCTTGCATGTTCCCATGCCTCCACCCATCTTTGGTTTGATTAACTCATCCACCACAATCATTCCACTACCACATATCGTCATCCCCCCTCTTCCCCCCCTCTTCATCGCTATAATTACTATACCCCCCACCTCCCCCTCCTATCCCACCACCCCCACCCCCTTTACCACTCTGCCCTAGATAATTCTGCGTATTCGCTACACTATATCCACCACCTCCGCCATTCGCACTATGATTCGAGTGATGCGAATCACGCGGGTTCTGGTTATAAGAATTACCCTGCTGAGAGCCGCCTCTTGCATGTTGTTGCTGTTGTTGATGTTGCTGGTGATGTTGACCGTTTTGTTGTTGTGAGAGGCCGCCGTTGGCTTGTTGTTGGTGTACGGAGGGCCATTCTTGTGAGGATTTTTCGGAGGATTGCTGTTCGTGCTGTTGTTGCTGCTGCGTTCTTCGTTAGTCTCTTTTTTAGGACGATGTCTATGATATATCTTACCTGCTGGTACCGCTGATACTGGGCAAACTCCTCAGGCTGCGACTGTTGCTGTTGTTGCTGCGGTTGCTGCTGCTGCTGTACCTGCTGCTGAGATTGCTGCTGATGTTGCTGCAGTTGCTGCTCCTTCTTCTGCTGCGCGGCTTGTTGCTGTTGCTGAGCCTGTTGAGCTTGCTTTGCTTGCTTGGAGTTGCCGATGGAAATCTGCGGGTGCATTTGCTGGACCTTGGCGAGGTACGAGTACATGAAGTTGGACAGCAAGACTTGGGAGTAGAGTTCGCGGCGGGGGTTCGCAAGCTTGATGTGGGCCATGCGGTATATCGCGCGCTCTTCTAGGATCGAAAATCGGGTCCAGTTGTAGTCGATATCGGGCTTTAAAATGCGTGGCGGGGGCTCGGGCGATAATCCACGTGAGGCGTTCTTCTTGTGAGACGACTCTTTCTCGCCCTTCTTCTTTCCTCCTCCGAAGATAGAGGACAGTAGTCCAGGCTCCTTCTCTTTCTTGCCTTCGCTGGATGTTTTTCTGGCGCTCTCCTTCTTCCGCTCTTCTTCCAGCTTGACGCTTTCGCGATCCAGCACTACGCTCTCGCGACCACGACCGCCGCCCTGTATCGATGTCTGCAGGAGGTCCAGTCTCGTGTCATCATGACCCTTGTCCTTCTCCTTCTCCTGGGACTTGCTGAGCTTGTTCTTGACCTTCTTCGGGGCTTCTTTTTCGGAGTCTTTGTCTTTTGACTTCTTGTCTTTTTCCTTCTCCTTATCACCGCCAAACCAACCCCAGCTCGTTTTCCTTTGGCCGCCTTCAGAGCCATCCTTGTCCTTCTTATCTTTGGCCTTCGGTTCGAGCTTCTTCTCTTCTGGTGCGTTCGGGATTATGGATAACGAATCGACCCTGTTGTTCTGGCCGGGCATCGCCGAAGGATGCGCTACTAGATCATCGAAGGATTGCGCGGGCTTGATCGGGGACGACTGAGCAGCTTGTGCATGACGGTTCGGTCGACTTGACGACTGGGGCTGGCGCTGTTGTTGCGGAGGTTGCTGCTGAGGTTGAGGATAATGGCGAGGGCCTGCAGGTTGTTGTTGTTGTTGGACTTGAGGCGGAGGTTGGCGGGAGGAGTGACGTTCGGGTAGCTGAAACTGAGGTGTTCGGTTCTGTTCTTGTGGCGGTGGTGTCTCGATGATCTGGGGTACCTGCTGCGGCGGAGGTGTGTAGCCTGGCAAAGGTGCAGTCGTGCGGCCGTTGGAAGCGATTCTCGAGTGGAACTGCCTGGGCTGCGGCGAGCTTCGTTCCTGTTGGGATATGGGCTCAGTAGAAGCTGACCTGGGGTATTCTTCAGATGAACCTGGTCTCTCGCCGCCATAGCTGGGAGATGCCCGCTTTGCCCCAGGCCGCGAGAAGTTGTTGGACGATCCTTCAAACGCCGAGTTAACGGGTTCCGATTGAACGCGGTTGAGACCTGGGAGAGGAGGGACTTCGGGAATGCTCTCGGTAGAGTGGACGGGCGAGGTGGACGGGGAATCTTCCGTGTCTGTGTCTCCTTGTCGACCAGAGACGAGTCGCCGTGAGAGGGGCGGGCCGCCTTTCCGCAGACTGCCTCGTCTGTACGTAGTGTGTGTTGATCTCTTGAGCGTGCCCAGACCACGCATCTTGCTACCCGGCACAATGGGCATACCGTCGGCGCCCTCTTCCCCTTCCCCCGCCATGCCCTTTTGATCGATGCTCATCCGTCTTATCAAGGCCACCGGGTCCTCCTGTATGTGCTCGAGCTCCTGAAGGTTCGACAAGCCCCCGTTGGGCTGCGCGCCGGATCGCTTCCTCTCCAGCCTCTCGGCGCCGTCCTTGTAGCCAGAGCCAGTATCAATCTGCCTGGACAGCATGGACTTCTTCCGCCGCAGCCCTCCCCCCGAGCCCTGACGCCCCATGGCGCCATCCGGAGATAGCGAGTCCGAGTCTCCGGAGCGTCGTCTCGTCCTGTCAATCTTGTCTTCAATGAACGTCTTGAACTCCATGGGCGCCAGTTCGGGGTGCAGCCGTGCGGGTACCCAGAAGAGTTTCGACTCGTCCTCTTCCGACATGGCCGGTGGGGAGGGCGGTGAGTTTGCGGACTGGAACGAGGGTAGATCGGGATCGGCATTGTTAACGCCCATGGACATCCTCCGTATCGCCTGCAGGTTGCTCAGTTCCTGGGCAAGGCCCGCCGGGCTGTTCTCGTAGTCGAGGTTGTTCAGCGGGAACTGGTGCGACGCCGCGTTCGAGTTCGAGCGGGACAGCGGAGGGGACATCTGGCCGCCATTCGAGGGGTGTCGCCCGACCGACGCCCGCTTCTGGGTCATGTTGGCGGTGCCATTGGGGCTCGTGGGCGTTTGGGGCTTCTCGAAGGACATCTGGGGACGCAGCGGGGACCTCGCGGGGGGCGCGTTGGGGAAGGGGTCGAAGGCCTCGAAGGCGCCAAAGGACTGGATCGAGTCGCCGTTGGGGCTGGGGACGAAGCTTAGGGGTCGGAGGCTGCGGCGGTTGGGGGCGTCGGTGTCGCTGTCGCCGCCGTACATGTCGCCTATGGCCTCGGTGACGTGGTGGCTGTCATCGCTGATGGATATCTGCGGCGCATGCCCCCGGCGCGGGCCTGGGTTTCGCATCTGATATAGGCGGTCCAGCTCTCTGGCTCTGTCGGTTGCCTGTGGGGTACGAGACTTGGTCAGCTTGGGGGCTCCTTGGAACGTCGGGTTGGCGCCGCGGGCCTTTGCCGGGGAATAGAGGAAACGAAACAATGGCGACCTCAGACTGCCACCACAATATGTGGTAGATGTTTGCCTGAGGCTAGACACGTGCTACTCACCATTTGCGAACCTTGTCAGAGTGCGGAGGTGCGGGTTAGCACGATTGCCACGGCTTGCTTAGGGCGCCGAGGCGGTGCGGGCATCCAAGGGCCCAAGGTTTGCGAGGCGGACGGGTCGGGCGTGTTGGTGCTGCGGCGAAGGAGTATCAAGCACCATGGTCTCAGGGAGAAATAGTAGAGGTACACATTCGCGCCGTGATGCACATGTCCAGCCAGCACCCCAACTAACTGCAATGTCACTAGCCCGGAGCGCGCCCAAGATGCACGACTCGGCGCCCTCCAGCTGCTCCGCCACACAGGGGGGCATCACCACAAGCCGAGTGTACGTCTGCCAGCAGCCGCCCTCAACCACGCCAGACAGCCAATCCGTGTCCGCCTTACCCAGCCGGGCGACATCGATGCCGCATCCAGGGTCCTGCTCAAAAACAACTAGACCGTTTCAACGTCTACACCCAAAAGGAACCCCTACTGGAGTTTTCACGGTTTCGGCAGCACGCGGGTGTTCACGTTGTCACTGAATGTGATGCGTGCGAGAGACAAGAATAGCCGTCTCGTCTCAGACTACTCGCAGATCCCCGGACTAAGTCACGGAAGTGCACCATGAAGCACGTCGCTAGCCCACACCATTGTCAAGCGAGCTGTCACCCTCCCTCGCTCCAGCCCAACATCGTGATCCCATGCTAACTCACCGATATCATCTATCCACATATTGGCGCTACTCCCCGTCAGGCCGAAGCGCCAGGGGTAAATGTCCCTGCGTCTACCTATTCGCTCGTGCCGCTGAGACTTGTCTGTTGTACAACGTAGCCGCACGCCAAGGTGATGTCATGCTTAAGCGCTGACCCTCCGCGCTGCCATTATCGTGACTGCTGCATTGCCATCATCTCCGACGCTTGGGATTTTTCCTATTGCGAGTAGTTTGTCTATAGGGGTGGAAGTGGTGTGCTGCTATGGTATATACAAGAAGCAAAGATTCACATTCATGCCTGGCCCCTGGTCTCAGATCTCAGCACCTCATACAAGGGAAAAACTGAACACCTAGGAGCCTACTTCGCTGTTAGGCCACCAACTTCGCAAGCTTTTATCTTGACGTAGGCTCTTAGGTGTTCGGTTTTTCCCTTGAATAGGGTGTCAGGTCGATGCGCTGCTGCGTCTCCAGACAAACATCGCCGAGGCCACTGCGCACGTGACGGCCCCCAGCGCTAGGTAAAGATTGAGATAATCGTAGCCGTCCTCTTCCTGCTTGGGGAAGGCTGTTGAAGGGTGGGTGGCGCTTTCAGCCAGCTATACGATGTTAGCTCGTGGAATTAATCAAAGAGCGTAGTACGTACGTGAACAAACAGCTCCGATATGCTGTTCCACGTCGTGCTGACGTGCAGTGGCGGTGCCATTCTCAGGGCGCTGGTGTACTCGTCGGGCTGCTGCTCGCATCGCTGCATCGTCTTGTCCTGGTCTGCCTTCAGGGCTGTGTAGACCGCTGGTAGTTGGTCGAGGTGGGGGTACTTCTTCCGCAGCTCGACAACATGCGCAAAGCTCGTGGGGTCGCTCGAGTCGTATGTATAACACAACAGATCGCACGCGTCAAGCTTGGCCTGGTTCTCTAGAATCGCGGGTTCGAGTTCACCGAGCTCCTCTAGGATCAGATAGCATTGCTTGCCACCTTTCAATTCCACGCTATTGACTGCCGAACGCGGTTTTATCGTGGGATGGTAGGTGTGGCTGAACGGTCGCTGGAGGAAGGCAGACAGCAATGAGCTCTTTCCACTCCCGCTCGACCCTATGACATAGCATAGAAAGACGTTGCGCTCGACGCGGCCAGGCTTCTTCCGCCGCTTCCTAGCTTTGGTCACCTTGAGTGCGCTGGTTGTGCCTCCGCGCTCGCCGCTCTCAAATCCGAGGTATGCCAGGTATGCTAGAGTCGTCTTAGGCTCTTCAAAGGTAGTCATGCTCCATTGCGCGAGCCAACCCTGTAGCGTGATGTATCCAGCTTCGTTGCGCACTGTACATGATGGGAACGACGAGTCCACCCACGATGTCGGCATGCCGGGGGTCGGTGCGAATAGATTCGCGAGTTCTCTGTCGTTCAGTCCTCCGTCATTGTCCATGTCAAACTTCAGGAACAGATCGACGAAGAAGCGGTAGCCGGATGGGCTGAGTTCGGCGGAGGAGAACTGAGGAACGTCGAACTTGGGATAGAGGAACGTATCCTGCAGACTGAGACTGTCGGTGTAATGGAATTTGCGCAGTATGATCCAGATAGTTTCGTGCCGCCCCTTCTCCGCGAAGATCTTGTTCAGGAGTAAGAAGCCCTTCTCGTCCATGCCATGCTCGCCGGTCAGACCAGGAGCAAAGCGCTCCATCGACCTCTTTATGTTCATCAAATCGTCGTCCCCCAGCGGTTTTTCGAAGCACTTGATCTGGAAATCGTGAATCTCCTGATCGTTCCAGTATCCATCCTTGTCTGTGTCGCATAGATGGAAGACTCGTTGTAATGCAGACACGGCTGCTGGCTTGAGCGCGTTCTCCTTGGAGTCGTATAGAGGGGCTATCGGGTGTGTGACGGCCTTTTGGCAGAGGAAGAAGACCTCGTTGATGTTGTGGTGGTCCTTGGCGCTGGTGCGGATGCAGGAGTCGATCTCCTTGAACTCGTTCATGACGGGCAGCATCTCCTCCGACACGACTTGGGATGTTGTGCCATTCGAGGCGATGTCGGACTTGTTCGCGCACAACACCACTGGCACGTTGACACCCAGCGAGCGGAAGTAGGGCATCCAGAACAGCGCCACCCGCTCATAGCTGTAGTGGTCTGAGTATACGAGGAGTATGACGTTCGATTTGCGGAGCTCCGTGCGGAGGGTGTGTCGTTCGTGGGGCAGGGCAGAGGTATCGACGATGGTGGTGGTGACATTGTCGGGCGTCCCAAGCGTGGGCGGGAGCGTCACCTGTGGCAGGACGGGCTGGATTTTGGCTGTGACGAAGACGTCCTTGACAAGAGACGTGATGATGGAGCTCTTGCCGACGCCATCGTCACCGCAAAGACAGATTCGTACTGCGGGAGTTAGTGAGGGTGGTATCGGGAAGGAGCTCCACATACCGGTCGCCATTTCTCGACGGCATTATTGGTGCATTTGGGCAGGTTTAAGGGATGTGTTGGGAGTAATGAGTGGTTGGTAAACTGGGTCGGACCTGCCGTGAGAATATTCAGACTTGTGCAGTGTTCATAGCACTTCGAGCGACTCGTGGTCAGGGCAGCACCAGCGCTGTCAGAAGGCTTGGCACACGTGGGAGACGATCGCAGCCCTGGAGCTTCCCCGCCAGCAGCCCCGCAAGATTGGTCGCTGGAAGTGCAATGCATCGACCGTTGTCGAGTGGCTCTGCAGATAGGCCGGACCCATGTCATGCCTCGTCCTCTCCACCAACGGCCAGCGGCATGGCAGGCAATTAATAAGACAGCCCAGTGCACGGAGCCATAAGGCGCCCGTCTCGTCTCCGCTTTCCACTTCCCCAATGGTTCCATGGCCCGCGCTCCCATGCCAGTCCCAGCCTGCCTGCCGCGGGCCACAAGCTTCCTTCTCCGCGCGCGCCCAAATTGACGTATCCTGTCTCTTCACACGCCGATGCCATAGCCGCGGTACTTGCTGGTGCTAATGTCTTACCCTTAACTCTACCGTGTCACTCCTAGCCAGGCACCGCGACTCCACCAGGCCGTAGTTAGCCCGCAACTGATTACACTGCAGCAGCTATGTTGTGAGTACCTGTCCTATCTCCAGCTGACCGCCAGTCGCCCACCAATGGCAGCCCTATCGTGCTCCACCCCCATCGGACGCGCGACTGATATGTGCACAGCGTCCTCCCTCCGCCGCCGCGCTATCCTGTCGGAGGCTACCCGGGCGCGCAGCCGGGCCAGCTTATCGAGACCAACAACACCCTCACCCACCCCACCGGCCCCGAGCACCAGCTGGTCGTCGGAGAAGGTAATTAACCAGCCTGGACCCTGCAGCTCTTGCCCTCACTGACGCTATGAAAGGTACCTATGTGCTGCGCGACGACCTCCACCTAGCTACGCCCCCGCCGCATCCCTCAGAGGCCCCCATCCACAACCCGAACCCGCTTGCGACGACAGTCTCTCCTCCCACCGCTGGCACCAAACTCTCGCTGGTCGCCCTTGCGCCCCGCCAGCCCTCGCAGTCGCAACTCCACCGATTCGGCACACGGACGAGCACCCGGTCGCAAGTGCCCCCGAGCATACAGGAGTCGCCGCACGAGTCCAATAGCCAGGCGAGCGACGGTGGTTCATACAGCGCCAATGGCATCGTGTCGTCTCCGCTGGATGGGCTGAAGACACCCGTGTTCGGCGAAGGCAACGCGGCGCTGGCAGTCATCAACGGCAAAGACTCCAAGGATCCTACTAAGAGGCGGAAACCGAAGAGCAACATTGTTAAGAGCAACTCGTCCTTCGTATCCAGAGTCATTCCCCACGAGGCCCTGACCAAGCGATTGCAAGAACACAACCCCAATGGCCTCTATGCCTTCGCAAACATCAACCGCGCATTCCAGTGGCTGGACTTGACATCGCCTACCAAAGACGAACACCTGACCAAGATCCTCTTCACCAAAGCGCACGCGCTATGTCACGACATAAACCAGATCACAAAAGGCCCAAATCACCTCGATATCATCATGGGCTTTTCGACAGGCGATATAATATGGTACGAGCCAATGTCGCAAAAGTACGCGCGCATCAACAAGAACGGTGTCATCAACAAGACCGCCGTGTCGGATATACGGTGGCTGCCGAATAGTGAGAATCTGTTCCTAGCAGCGCACATGGACGGCAGTCTGGTGGTGTATGACAAGGAGAAGGAAGACGCCGTGTTTGTGCCAGAAGAGGCCGTCACATCCCCTAGCGAGAATGGGCTGACGGATCAGGAGAAGAAGCTGAAGCACCTCTTGACCGTCAAGAAGTCTGTCAACTCGAAGAACCAGAGAACGAACCCCGTGTC